AGGGTTTAGGGGCCACAGGGTTTAGGGTAGCAGCTGCTTTCTGTGTGATTTCCCTGTTGCTGAGCCTGAGGCGTGGTGGTGGAACGCTAAGACTCGGTCTGCTCCCGTCACCTTGCGTGGAGCGCGCTGCTGAATAGTGCGCATAAAACCCGTACATATATGCAGCAACAGATGATGCCGGACTGTGACAATGCCAGAGTATTGAAGTCGTACTGATAACGATGGCACAAAGAAGAAGAAAAGTATCCGTAGTAGCAATAATCACAACAACACTTTTTAATCTGACAATATTACTGCGATCACAGCAAAATGGGGGGGGGAGTACTAACACGCGACAATAACAGTGCGGACGGCACAGAGCAACATATGAGAACTGCAACAATTCTCTGGCCGTCTTTCATACAAGCAGGAATCGCTTGTAGAATGCATGTGTCAGTGTGTGTACATATTTACACAGACCTGTGTATATCTGTATGCATGCATGCATACATACATACATACATACATACATACATACATACGTACGCACACACGTACATCTAATATGTAACAGACCTCTATGTACATACAATGATGGATGTACACAGGCTCCGTAGGCCGAGCAGTGAGAGCAAAGCTGAGAGAGCCCAAGGAAGGAGATGCTTCATTTTCAGGCCAAGCAGCCATCTGAATAATCTCGCACACCTGCCTGTAGTATGTCGTGCGGACCTGGCCATGTTTCACTGATCTCCCTCCCCAGTGCGACCGGCCGGCCATGCCTCGGCAGGGTTCGAGAAGAAGGTCTCCGCAGCAACATCGGTCTCGATGTTGGCGAGCTGAAAGCCCTGGGATGCAGGGTTGGCTGAGCATCTAGGTCGTCAGGAGATACTGGTAGAAAGGTTGGATCGAGGCTCCCACGGCTGCCCTGCAAGGGCAGGGAGCTTCTTTTTGCTGCCAGAACGGGCAAGAAGCCCAGAGGCTCTCCAAACTCCATGTGCTGCACAGCTTTGCTGCGCTGCGAAAGTCATCAGAGCCGCTCAGGATTTACCTGGACTCTGAGCTCTCGGGACGTTTTCGACAACTCAAGGCCAATGTAATGCAAGCAAGCCATGAATGCCATGACAATGAATATGTGGAAAGAGGTCGTGTAGCTTCCCGTCAGAGCACGCAGCTTGCCTCATGCAGCACCAGGCAGTCGCACCAGAACACAACATGCAAAGCATGGCAAAACTACAAAGTTTGATGCAGCTGAGCGTCCCGTGACAAGCGTGCCCAAGAAACCACCGATGACTTGGAAGAGCATGAAGAAGCCCTGGAGCTTGCTAAAGTCGTCCATCTTGCCGAACATCTTGGCAGGCTTGGCTGACAGCACGCTGTAAGAACCCCCGAAGCCAAGACCATAAATCACTGCGAAGGCCATCAACTGGTTGTGATTGGCCGTCAGGGCCCTCCCTCCTTTCGCAAAGTCCAGCAGGAGTAGGGTCCCGATCAAAAGCACGAAGCAGCTGACCATACCCGTCAAAGCCTGACGGGAGTCCATTGCAGCCCCAGCCACGAGCTTGGCCGCAATCGAGGCCTGAAAGACAACAGACGAGTAGAGGCCGCAAAGCTCGACGCTCATCCCAACGTCCGTCTTCAGGTACAGGACCAAGGTATTCACTAAAGCGATGATAATGTAGAGCTGATAGAGTGACAGGAAGGCCAGGTGCCAGACAGCCCCGAGCCGGAGGCTTTGCTGAAAGTTCAAAGAGGTTGGATTCCGGGCTCCTGGCTCTCGGTGCGTACTTTGGTCATCTTCTACTTCCTCGCTGTCATCGCAGGGCCGCCGCACGACCTGTCAGTTTCTTGCAAGCTTACGGGAGAAAGAGGTATATGGCTCATGGGCTTCTGGGGCGACAAGAGCCCAAGGCCTTTGATTCCACGGAGTCAGGGAATGATCCGTGCAGACAAACCGAGAGAAGGAATACTGCCAGTTACCAGTCGATGTTGGATCAACAAGCTTTAAAGCACTACCTGGCAATGACGATGGCTATCACCATCATGCAGCACCGGCAGCAATAGCAATAGCAATCGCAGCAGCAGCACCACCACCAGCACCAGCACCACCGCCACCACCACCCGCAGCAGCAGCAACAGCAGCAGACACAGTTGCTGCATTAAAACCACCAGCAGGCAGCACCAAGACAGTAGTGGCAATGAGCTGAATGAGAGCTTACGGCTGCCTGGAAATGCTGTCTTTGGCTCCGTGGGCGCAGGAGGGTGCCATCACGGAGGGCCAAGAAGGCGAGCGGAAGCACCAGAAAAACCATCAGAACAGGCCCCAAGGACGAGGCCATGCGCCACCCGTGATGTTGGATCAGGCTCCCAATCAGGGGAGGGAAGCAGACGCCAGACACGCTGAAGGCAGTTGTTAGGATGGCAATGGCCAATGCTCTCTGCTGTTCAAACCACGAAGTTAAGAAGACAATACATGGTGCAATGCCACTGAAGTTGTATGCCACCCCGTAAACACCCTGAAGGCTCGCCAGCCACCACAGGCTGGGAGCCATGGGATACAGGGCTGAACATACCAACACCACCAGTGCACCTGCGCGGAGGCAGCGACTGCAGCCGAAGATATCTAAGGCAAAGCCGCCCGGGATAGTGAAAATGCCCTTCATCAGCTGAAAAACCGCAGGAATCCAGGAGACGTGGTACTGGTCCGTATGGAACTCATCCATAATGGCCGGCAACATCACTGGTGGTGCATGATAAGACACACCAGCAATGACAAAAAAGACTATCCATATCGAAGTCAGCTGCTTCCAGTGCAACACCAGCTCACATTTGCGTTGTGGCCCTGGCAAGCAGCAATAATTGTAGCTGAAATTTGCGGGGCTTTCATCCGCAGCCACGGTCATGGCGCTTGGCCCACGTGGCTGACTGCTTGAAATCCTTCCACGCAGAATCTTGGAGGCCACTCTTCCCTCGGCCAGCGCAGCCGGAAAATTTGGAAGGGCCTGCTGGAATCAACTTATTGCACATACAAACACTCCTACAGTTTTGCAGAAAGCAGCGGCGTCAAGCAGTCACTCAACGGCTCTCGAGGCAACCCCGGGAATCTACAGGCCGGGAACCCATGGGAAGGCACCATGGGTCCCATCACCGCGGCATTCCCGCAAACAATGTTATCTTCATTGCCCAGTGCTCCTGCTGCTGCTCCTGCTGCTGCTACTGCTACTTCTATTGCTACTGCTAGTAGGTCGCAGTAGTAGTAGTAGCAGTAGT